TCCAGGCTCTGAGCCATCAGCCCAGAGCCTGACGCGGGGCTCGAACTCACGGACCGCGAGATCGTGACCTGGCTGAAGTCGGACACTTAACCGACTGCGCCACCCAGGCGCCCCTGATGAATAATATTTTATACGTATGCCCCACATTTTGTTTTTCCGTCCTCCAGTTGATAGAGATTTGGATTGTTTTCAATTTAAAAAATTGGTTTGTTTTTGAAAGTGCCCCCTAGGATCCAGCCCGTGGCCACCCACCATGTCACCAATGAAGGGGTTCCAGCCTCCCTCCCCTGTGTGGCCTCGGGGGTCCCCACCCCTGCCATCACCTGGACCAAGGTAGGAGGAGCCTCTTGTGGTAAGGGTACCCAGAGGGGTGGGCCCAGTGCATCATGGGGTGGGGGGATTATGCAAATCGCCATGCGGTGTGGGCTTTGCTGACGTCACCCCCAACTCTCCTGCAGGAAACCAACGCCCTGGCCTCCACGGGTCCCCACTACAACGTGAGCAAGGATGGCACCCTGGTCATCGCCCGGCCATCTGCCCAGGATTCAGGAGCCTATGTCTGCACGGCCACCAACGCTGTGGGCTTCTCCAGCCAGGAGATGCGGCTTTCTGTCAACAGTGAGTGGTGGCCACCCCCTGTCCTGGGAGAGGGGCTTGGCAGGCATGGAGGCAGGGGCATGGACGAGCTGACCTTACCTGGACCTTCCTTGCCCCTGCCTCAAAATTCTTCCCATCTGAAGGGCACATGGACCAGAGCTGCCCTCCTCCAGCTCACTGTCCTCAGCAGCGTGCACATGCTCTAAGAGTGGGTCCAGTTCAGCCCTCTGTGAGCGGATGGTGGGAAGCCATCACATTAACAAGCCTCGGAAAAACACAGGCCCTACACTGGACCCCTGCCACCTGGGCAGCCCCCTTGCCCGCCACTGTCCCCGAGTCTCTGTGCCCCAGACCCTCGGGCCTCCATTCAGTTTCTTAAATGGGCCTTCCTGCCTCAGGACCTTTGAACGAACAGTTCCTTCTTTGGAATCCCCTTCCCCCTCCTGGGCCAGCTGACTTCTCCCATTGGTCAGGTATCTGCTCTCTGACTCCTCAGACTGAGTCAGGTCGCTTTGCTGTAGACTCTCTGGAACGTCCCCTTTGTAACTATGATTAGATAGTTAATTGTGTGTTGAGTTGTTCGGTAGCAGTGTTCCCTGTGGGCCCTAATGCCGGGAGGACGGGGGGCAGGATCTGTCTCCTTTGCTGCTCCTTCCCCAAATCCACACAAAGCTGGGCACTCAGGAACCACCTGGAATGAAGGAGCAAATGCACAGCCAAGTTTCTCTAGACATATTCTTACCACCACTATTTTTATACTACAAAAAAAAAAAAA